CCCGATCTCCCCTAAATTATAATATTTTATATGAAAATCTTTTATTATTAATTTATTATTATAAGTTAGAAAACAAACTTAATTTCAATGGTAGAAATGAGTTTTATAAGAAAATTGTATATCCATTGATCTGGATATCTACAAAGCGAATTATTTTTCTTTGTTCGATTGTTCCGAGTCGGCGTCGTCGATAATCCCATAGGAAGCATTTAGTACGTCGGGTTCCCGATGAAGTAGTCCAAAGGTTAGGCACTTAATAGGTTTGTATATCGATAAAATAAATCCAAGAATATGCACTGCGTGTACGTGATGAGTTGCAACGAAAAATCACTTCTGAGGGTCGGGTGAAGTCGGTAACAGGTCGGAGGAATGGCGGCAACTGCCTCGAATATCGGTCTCTAGTTATATTCATTTGACAACTTGCGATAATAGGTCCTTTAGCGACCGAGAACTTGTTGAGTGATAAACTACCAGGTGTGAAATTTGCAGAGCTGTGGAGTCGGAGTCGTGGAGTTTTGGTGTTTTGGCCGGAGTCGGAGTCAGAGTCTTCAAAAAATCCATCGACTCTGACTCCATTTTTACTTACCAACTTGTTATGTATATGAAACGAAGTCGGAGTTCGAGTCAGTAGATTTTTACGTGAATCCACAGCCCTGTAAATTTGAAATTTAAACGATAAAAGAGTATCGTTAACGATTTAGGTAAGGTTGTAGATAAGTAAACAAGGCCCAGTCTCACATATTTAATTAACTAACACCACTGTCTAGAAATGTCACCGTATAGCACTTGTTTCGATTTGAACTGTAATATTTAAAATATTACAATACACAATATTACAGTCCAAAAATATTCCTTAAAAATCCTAACTGTTTTTAACTTGTAAACGTTGTTAATTCAACGTTTACAAGTTAAGAAATATCAATATCTAATAACAAAAAATTAATTTTTTATCAAATTATTTTTAATACTGTGAAAAAATGTACACGAAAATAAGATATTGAGACATATATTATTTCAAATTCTGTATTTATAATATAAATTTTCATATATGGAAAATTATTCTTAGACTTTTATAATTATATTCCGTGAATAACAGCAAGTTTAACATCTACATTTTATTCTGAAATGGAATGGTACATTCGACTCCAAAGCTATTCCCATAATTTTTGGTGTAACTTTCCCTATTGATTCAATGTTTAAATGTGTGAAGACAATTGCTAAAAAGATTTTCATCACCAACATTCCGTAACGATTACCTACAAATATAACATTCGTAATTCAGATTGTGTAAAATTATTATATAAATACTAATTAATGAGAAATATTAAGTTTATAATTTGCATAAATATACAAGAGATAATTATTGACGTTTATATATTTTAAAATTATACATAACTAATTGAGGTACCGGGCTACAAGCTAGAGAAAATGATGTATACTATCCTGAATTAATGTACAGTACATACAAAGTTTCATAGAAATCGGTTCAAATGTTCTTAAATGATACTTGATCAAATAAACAGACAATGGCCAAAGTGGTTCTGTTCCCTGAACACTGGGAGTTCGGTCGTAAGTTTGCACCCTTCCCGGATGGGCTGGCCGTGTGGAGTTTTCTGGGTTTTCTCCACCTCTGTAACACCTGAATAAAAGCCAGTTACACTTAAAAGACATCCCGGAAGGCATTATTCCGCATTCTTACCCAAGGCCAAGCAGTTAAAAGCTTCGGCCGGATTATTAGATGCTTACGCTTTTGCTCTATCGGAGTATTATAGCTGGAAAGGCTGCACACTCCATCGTTTTGGCTTTTGGATTGTTCGAATATATTATCCTATTCTCTCAATAACGTGTTCTGTTATATATATATATATATATCTTGTAATTTTAGTTACTCGGCTATTATATATAACAGAGGGAAACTGTGGCAATCGGTGAGAAAAGATGACCCTACCAGATATTTACACTTGGATTGGAAGCTTTCACATGTTAAAAAATGCAAAAATATTCAAGGGTTGTTTCTGTATCTATAGATGTTAGTGTGTGAGGGGCACGATTTTGTTCAAATACATTATTGTAAATTACAATTAATGTATTTGTACTGTTTTGTTTTGTAGCGCAGAGGATTAAAAAACACATTTTAATACAGAAAATAAAAAATAAATGCAAGTTATGACAATGAAATTGTTAATATTTTGTATTAATGGTATTTAAAACTTAATAATTTGTGTAAGAAATAAATGAAAAGAAAAGAAAATGGCTGTTTTATTGTATTATATAAATAGATTTATTTAGCATTTAAAAGAAAAACAGATCAATAACCTCTGAAATTCCTTATTTGTTGAGAACATGTGATGCCGAATCAATTCGAAAATAAATAAAAATTCTTAATAATAATTTAAACCCTTACTTAAATTTTTATAAAACTTACCAATGCAATTCCTTCTCCCAGCTGAAAATGGTATAAAGCAATAAGGATGCCTATTTGCTGAATTTGATGGAAGAAATCGAAGTGGATCGAATTTGTTCGGATTAGGGAAATATCTTGAATTTCGCTGAAGATGATAAATCGATATCAGAAAATTACAATTTGAAGGAAAAATCTGGTTGCCTGTCAAATGTTAAAGTTGTCAGTGTTTTATGAACGTAATGCTATTTGAAAAGTATTAAAAATGACATCTTTACCAACAGATATTTCTTCTTCCGATAATCTAGCCGTTATAGGAACTGCTGGATACATTCTCATTGTTTCCTGTGATAAATAACAATACCGTGTAAAGTTATTAAGACTTATCCTATCGATAATAAAAATACTTCAAGCAGCGGGAGTAAGGCGAGTCACTAAAGTGACAAGAATATTGGGGAAAAGATGGAAACAATTGGAATTTGAAGCTAAGAAGCCTTACATTGAAAGATCAAAAATAGAATAGGATAAATACAGAAAAATATAACATCTGAAAATGATCGCATCATTCAAACTTTCCCCTTTAATCCGGACAAAGCAACTCGTGAAGGGGCGAGAATAAAAAATCCCGATTACCACGAAAATGAAGACATCGAAATAATAGAAGAGATTGAGACAGATGTTAGAAAGATTAAGAAAAAAACAAAGAAAATTACGAAAACAACAGCAAAAAACAATAGATCGATGGACCAACAGATCAGACTAGAGAAGAAAAATCTTTATTTAATTTTTATGCTTTATAAAATAGACAAATATTTGGAAATAGTTCAAATAACCGGAAAGAATTTGAAGTAAAATTAAATTAAATTCCCAGGTCTTTCGGAACAGGTCGTTGGAATAATTAAAATAATTTTTTGAGGAAATTAATTGTATTTGTTTTTCTTTTTTTACCAAGACCGAGCCGCGATTGAAAGTAGAAAAAAGTTAATTTATTCTGTCTGGAATTGTAAAACTAGATTAAATGGACTGATTACAACAAGCAATTAAACATTTTACAAATTTGTAAAGAGTTAATTATCAATTTGTATCTCCGTTTATCATCCGATTCCTTATTAAACAGGAATTAGCCGCCGGATTAAATCAGTTTAAGTCTAAACGAAGGCGAAAGGATATAGAACGGAAGTCTCTTTAAATGCTTAACGACACCGACCTTTGACGGGCGTCACGTGTTAATAAACAGGAATGGCTCCGAGTTCGAGTGCACTGTCAATGATTCAATTCGTAACTATTGACCATGACGTGTGTAATCTTTCGGTTCTTCAAAAGAAATTTCAACTGGAGAGGGAAGACACACTTAGCTTACTTTTCAAGTATTCGACGTGTTTTTTTAGAAATACGATAAAGTCCGCGTATTTATTTACTCCCCCAAAAATATGCAAAACTACGAGCTTAAAAACGATAAAACGGATCTGCAAACCCAAATCTATAAGTCTAAACAACACAATACTAGCGAGGGATAGATGTAACATACGAATAGATACAGGAAGTTATAAGGTTTTCGCATAATTCTCAGCTAAGACAAAAAAATTCTAAAATCTACACCCGCCCCGACAAATTAACCACGTAACGCGTTACGTACAACCAGAGAATTATCCCACGTCTTCTTCTATGACCGGATCGAACCCGGATCGTGCTTCCTAGTTATTAACCG